GCAAGTGTCAGAATTGTGGTGGGATTATTATTATTTTTTTCTTTTGCATGCAGTCACAAGAACTTTCACTTTCCAAGTCATGATCAGAAGCAGGTTGGTTTTTCTTATTAGATAACTGTCAGTTATATTACACTATTTCAAATATGGCGTGAATTATGAGAGTTTCTCCAACTCTAGCCAGTTTCTAAAAAGTAGATCTATCTAACTTGGCTTTTGTGCCAAACATTCAGCTAACCCAGGTGTTAACAGGCAAAGAGTTCCCAATACAGCATGGAGCAGCAGAGAGTCAATACAGTGTCCAGAGATAAACTGCACCTTGCCTAAGTATCAGCACTGACACAGCATCAAGCAGTTTGAGTATAGTTCAGCTTCTAGGCTGATGGTGCTATAATGCTGTAGGAAACGTCGGCCTGATTGGAAGGGAATGGTGTAAATGAAATCAGAATCAATGTAAATGTGGAGCCATTCAACTGATCTCTATAAAGAAGGGCCAATAAAGAACACATGTGTAGTCAGAATCAGGCTATAAATATTTACATTTTAAAATGACTATCGATCAAGCCAGCATAGAGAAAGGGGGGAGGGATAGCTCAGTGGTTTTCAGCATTGGCCTGCTAAACCCAGGGTTGTGAGTTCAATACTTGAGGGGGCCATTTAGGGATCTGGGGCAAAAATCTATCTGGGGATTGGATTGGATTAAATTAAATTAATGGAGGTATCCTATCTCATAGAACTGGAAGGGACCCTGAAAGGTCATCAAGTCCAGCTCCCTGCCTTCACTAGCAGGACCAAGTACTGGTTTTGCCCCAGATTGGTCCTGCTTTGAGCAGGGGGTTGGACTAGATGACCTCCTGAGGTCCCTTCCAACCCTGACATTCTATGAAAGAGTAACCTAAATAATCTATACAGAAGCCCCTGGAACCCCATCAGATTGGGTTCCTAATCCATGAACTACAAAAAAAAATTTACAGGGGAGGGATAGCTCAGTAGTTTGAGCATTGCCTTGCTAAACCCAAGATTGGGAGTTCAATCCTTGAGGGGGCCACTTAGGGATCTGAGGCAAAAATCAGTACTTGGTCCTGCTAGTGAAGGCAGGGGGCTGGACTCAATGACCTTTCAGGGTCCCTTCCAGTTCTATGAGATAGGTGTATCTCCATACATTAACATACACAGTTCCATCCCACCTCTTATTAAAGGCAATAGAAGTAGTGCCACTGATGTCTGTGGGCCTTCTTGTGCTCACAATTGCCATTAACAAGAACTGCTGTTCCTGTAGGGTGTAAATAAACTATGCTTTTGTCTTCTTGACTGGGTGTGCTGGGGAGCGGTGTGAAATTACAAGAAAATGTAGTGAAACAAATCTCATTTGGCTTTACATGATTTGATACCACCTCTCCCTCACAATTTAACTTCATGCAAAATTCCAATTAGATGTCTGTCTTCCACTGAAAGTATATGGAAAACTAGAATGGCTGTGGTTTTATGGAACACTATCTTCCCCTGAAAATAAGAGTTTTTTCTCACAAAACAGTTGGTTATTTTCATGTTGAAATGTTCCATAATGCAGAGAAATGTTCACAAAAATGGACCCACTTCCAAATTTGTAATGAAATGTGAAGAAACTTGATTTTGAAGAAACAGTGAAGACAAAACAAAATATTGAATAGCTTGATTGTTCAGGGAGCATCCTGTGGAATGAAGGAGTCAACGATGTTGTGGAAAAAATAATGTGTGATCATAATACAGTCTTTAATTACATAACACAAGGAGGGGCAAATTCAAGTGCACAGGCAACCTAACCTCTGGCATTTCCTAACTCTGCAGTTCTTGACTTTGCATCTTTAATATTCCTTTTAACATGATGTGTGTGTGTGACTGACTGCCTAGGTTTTCAAAAAGGCAACTTGAAAAAACAGACTCCATCTGTAATCAGACTGGCCTCTATACAGATCAGCAGTATGGCTGAAACCTTTAGATTCACAGCTCACATTCTGTTAGCTGGTGGCAGAGGTAACTGACAGCAATAGTAGGTTGTCATCCATTATGTGGATCTGTCACTACAGGTGCATGAGACATGCACTTTGCTAATGGGTTTCATTGATATTTGTTGATAAGAGAGGAATGCTGAGATTCCTGAATCTTGGGTTCAGTTTCAGGTTATGGAGAGGGAATGTGCTGTTGTGGCCACAGACTATTCTGTGCGCGGTTCCCCTAAGTCTGACTCCTGTCTGTGTTCCTATAAACAAGGTGCTCCCCCACCCCCATTCACACCCTCTTATGGCCAGGGTGCCTCTGCCCTACCCTTTACTCTGCCTCTTCCAGGTCCTTATAGAGAAATGCCATACACTTGCTCATCCAATCACCACCCTTATTGTGGTCTGGGTTTATTCAGACAATTAACTAAAAGTCTCAAAAATCTGGCCCAGGCACGGCTCTTACCCCAGAACCTGGGTGAGCAAAAGGGTTCCTTCAGTCATCATCTGAAACAATAAAAACCATGTTTTGACTATGTATTTTTCCCAAATCTCATTCTTGGAAATGGCTGGAGCACTTTTTACTGAAATTTAAAGAAGAAAAAATTCATCCTGAGGCAGACACTTGGCATGGACAATTTCAGCCCAAATGGTTAAAGTTTGGCAAGGTTATAGCAGCTGAAAATAGGGTCTTATGGGACGTGTCAGACAACCTTAACTGTAGGCAACATGGCCAGCTGTACCTACAATCTTGAGAACTATTTATATAGCTATAACCCAGTTAACTAGTGAATAAATCCTATTTTCCTGCTGTAGTGTTAGCAAAGGTTAAAATATCACCTTCAAACCCCACCATTTTCAACTGAAGTTGGCTGGCCATCGATATTACTTTTCTTTCCTGCTTTTAGCTTTGCCTTTTGATTTTAAAAGCTGAGTGGGGAGTCAAATGAATTCCCAATAAAGAATTTAAGGTTAGTCCCAGGGCTTAACCCTCTATGCTACTTTTTATTGATATACTTAAAACCATGTGTAGCACATCCACTCATGCCTGTAATGTGTTTATAACCACTATTAATCATTTATTAATCCTCTATAAACCACTTATAAATGTACCCTTAATATAATATGTAACCAAACTGAAGTCTGAATGCGAACGTTTAAAGTTCTGGGCTGCCAGCAGTTATTTTTTAGGAGTTGGAGGTTTTTTTAAATAGAATGTGGTAATCATTTCCCCTACTCTCTATTGCTCTCCTTAGCATTCTCCCTTCTACTGCTCCTCTTCACTGTCACTTCCCCATCCATCCATATTAAATGCTGTTAACCAAGGAAGGGGAAGGAATGATGGGGGAGTGAAGAAAGGCACATATCCATAGCAACACCAGCCTTTCATTGGATTTTGTATTCACAGGCCATTGTGCTCCTGCTGCTCTTTCAGAAATGGGTGATATTGCTAAATAGGAGCGGTTATTAAAGTAACTGCAGATATTAAGAAGGCCACTGTCAGAATCCATTCCTGCTCATGTGCAATATGCAAAGCAAAGAATGGGACAAGCCCACCATTATGCATAGTACATGCAACATTGGTATCATTGTCAAATGGCACATATTTGGGGGAGAGAGAAGAGCTGGTAACCCATTCAGCTGTCACTTCCTTTTGTTTAGTTCAGTATGAGATTTCTCAAGTCTCCTGATTGCTGCTGTCACCTCTGTCTCCCCAAGTAAATTCCCTTTTCCAAAGAAGTTCAAGTAGATATCCACACATGCAGTGACTGGTCTGACCTGTGTTACATCTATCTGTTGTGAGATAATAATCTTGTCTTCAGCCTTCCCCAAGAGCTGCTGTCCTGTTCCCCACAGAGCTCAGAACTTCTCTTGGACTGTCTTCATGGAGAAAAGTACCCGACTTGACACATCCCATCTGGGAGCTGTACATGCCATCCACCTCCAGAAGCCCTCACCTTCTGCAAGTAGGAATAGTACATTGTCAACACTTTTTCAGTCTCACAGGCAACATGAAGGTGCTGGGGAGATTACAATGAATTTTCCCACACTTCTAGAGCCTTGCTAAGAGTCAATTGCTTCGTTCATGTGCTTGATCCCTAAACTCACTTTTACCTTTTGTAGAGATTACCTACAGTGCTACTATGGCTCCATCTTCTTAACACCATCCCTTGCCATGACAGATGTTACCTGTACACTTACCTTCACTCGCAGGCCACATTCTGTTCCCCAACACCCTGCTTTTTGTGATGGTGATGCTCTGCATGCTGTAGTATGTCTGATCTCCATGCATTTTTCCTAGAACAGAGGTGCCCAAATATTTTCCATGGCCATCCCAGTTAATCCTCTGCGCAGACACAAAATGGCTTTTGTGAGATCATCTTAAAGTATGTCCATACCCATGAAACCTGTTCTAGCTTTGACATCTCAAGGACTGAGTGGTTCTACTGCTGCACCTCACTTTTCAGCATGGTGATGGCAATAGCTTTGGAGGAACATAAAATGGATGGATCTGTGTTGTCATCACTACTTCCTTTGCATTCCTTGCCCGTTCCCAGTTCCCACTCACAATGCCACCACCACCTCCATCACAATCACTTTCTTACAAGAGAACTAAATCTAGATGGGTGTAACAAAATAGACTGTTAATGAGAAGGAAGGTTGATGCCACCATATGGCCATAGTTAAGTTTGTTCTGGAAACCTATGTTACAGAAGAGACTTACCATATGAAAAACCACTGGAACGCTCACAGAATGGGTCACTCTTGCATTACAGGCTCTATAGCCAAATTCTTCCCTCAGACATGCCCATGTAAATCCAGACTAATTCCAATGGCATTATACTCAGGATTTACACCAATATAACTGAAATCAGAAGAGGCCCCTAATTAATTTTATGGTAGTGCCCAGGGCCCCCCCATCAGGAAAAAGGAACAGATGCGCAATGATGTGCTGCCAACATTTTAGTGCCTCTTTCTCCCACACACACCAAGAAAAATAATGAATTCCATTGTCTGTCTTTCCTAGGATGGAGGACAGGGTGGATGAGCTGAGTCCCCTGACAGATGAAAGGATTATCCTGCCTCTTCTTGGCCATTCTGTGAGTAACTATTGTCTCTGAACGCCATCAGCTTTCTGATCACATGCTCACTTCTTGTTCTGAAAAGTTTGTTGTGCAGTGACCTGTTCAGCCACTGAGGAGGATCCATCCCCCGAAGCTTGTTTCTACAAAGGTGTGAATGCTCACAAGTGACACACCTCTAGTGTCTGCCCAATCACATAGCGTAGGTCAGGATTTTTAAATGTTAATAGCCTTGCAATGTGGCCGAGGTCAATACCCATTGACTCTAGTGGTTACTGTCATCCAACACCCAATTACAAATTAGGAGCCAGGGGAAGACCCCACAGATCATAAAGTTTAAACGTTCTTCTGGTCCTCCAAAAAGGAGAGGTGACATCCTCATGACATCACAGATAAATTGTAGTCTATTTTTCAAGCCCAGACCTCTGAGAGTATCAGGTCCAAACTTCACTGTTTTTTAGCAGGGAAGTAGAAAGAAGAGTTTGTAGGTAAAATTTCACCCATGAACAAATTCACATCTACCATCTGTGTCCAGATTTTTGGATTGAAAAGCCCAAAAGGAATATGTGCAGCATCCATTTGCAGCCCTAATCATTGGATTCCTCTTAAACTGTGGAGGGGAAAATTAAATGGATATTGTTGGATTCTCTGCAGTACAGTGTGTCCAAAACTGGACTGAGATGATGTCAGAAAATGTTACATTTTTTCCCAATTATGAAATGAATTATGGGGAGTTAGCTAATCACAGTGAGAATTATAATGGAGTTATTTTAGCTGATATGCTGTTGTCCAGCCAGAAAACACAGGTGTTTTGTTTTCAGATGCTGCTTTTCAAGGTTAGAGTAACCATCTCTTTCCCCACCACTTAAGGGGCAGATTTGTACATATGAAAAAACTACTTTCATTTCCAAAAGTTGCAACAATTGTGTCATGAATTGTATCATGCCTTATGAAGGTAGCGGCTATTTGCACACACACTTCCGTTTGCTCTCCAGCAGGAGTAAAAGTGTTATGTAATTATGCATTATTGATGAAGCTTGTTTTTTAGCATATGCTTTTAATGGCGTGTTTCCTCAGGTTTTTATTACACTCTCCTTAAATGGATGACATTGGCAGATGTAAACACACAGAGACTTAGTCATCCCTTATGTAACTCCAATGAAGACAATAGAGTGGAAGTCTATACAGTTATGAATTTGGACCATTCTTCCCATAGTGTTTTAAATTCTGTGCTTATTTAGATTGTTGTTTTGTCACATCAGCAACATGAAAATAAAATTATGGAAGTACATGTATTCACAAAAGTTAACTTAGATCTGAAGATGTGCTTTTCTTTTTTTAACATTCAAAGAAAGGCTTTCCGTTTTTATTAACTTCAAATCACTTTTAAATGAAGCAGCTGTTTTTCGTTGATTTATTCCAGGAATTTGGTTCTCTCGTCCAAACTATGACATCTTGAATAATATATTAATGGGATATTTAAGGAATGTAATTCTTTTCTGTTTTCAAATAGCTGGAGCCCAAGCCCTACCACCCGGAGCCGAAGCCAAACCTCTAGCCCCACTGCCCAGGGCTGAAGCACTTGGGCTTTGGCTTTGGCCTCCCCGCCCGGGGTAGTGGGGTCATGAAGTAATTTTTGTTTTCAGAAAGGGGTCACGGTGGAATGGAGTTTGAGAACCCCTGTTTTATAGTGACAGCCATGAAGTTCCTAAATAGCCACAGATTTGTGCACTTAGTGTGCAATTTTTCAAATGGTAATATCCTTGTGAAATCAAAACTAGTTTTTTATGGGGTTTGTGATAAATGAAGGGGGGGGTAGCTCCCTTTTATGGACACCCAGCCAGTCAGTTAGCTATAAAGTCCCTCTTGGTGTTCTCTGCTTGCTTTACCTGTAAAGGGTTAAAAAAGTTCCCAGGTAAAGGAAAGGGAGTGGGTACCTGATAAAAAGAGCCAATGGGAATGCTAGAACTTTTTAAAATGGGGAAAAAACTTCCCTTTTGTGTCTGTTGTTGTTCTCCGGAAAAGAGGGGAACAGGGAACTATGCTGTAAAAAGCTTTAAAACCAGGTATGAAAAAAAGCATCAAATCATACCTCAGCCCTACTTATCTGAAACCCCAAATATGTAAGTAATCAGGGAATGTCTAGGAAGAAGCGATTAGGGTTATTTCTTATTGGCTTGTGGACTCCTGTGTGCTAACCCCAGATGCTTTTGTTTTGCTTGTAACCTTTAAGCTGAACCTCAAGAGAGCTAGCTTGTTGCTTAATTTTTGTAATTGTTTCTTTTAAGGTCTAGCAAAAAGCCTATGTTCCAAATGTATTTTCTTTCTTTTGGGGTTTAATAAAATTTACCTTTTTAAGAACAGGATTGGATTTTTGTGTCCTAAGAGGGACAGCTGGTGGCAACAGCTAATTTCCTTTGTTTTCTTTCTCAGCTCTTTCCCGGAGGGGGAGTGAAAGGGCTTGAGAGTACCCCCCAGGGAGGAATTCTCAAGTGCTCCTTCCTGGGTCCCAAGGAGTTTTTTTGCACTTGGGTGGTGGCAGCTTCTACCCATCCAAGGTCAGAGAGAAACTGTGACCTTGGGCGTTTAATAGCAGCCTGGAGTGGTCAGTATTAATTTTTAGAATCCTTGCGAGCCCCCACCTTCTGCACTCGAAGTGACAGACTGGGGAATCAGCCTTGACAGGGTATTTCCCTAAATCTAACATAACTCATATCCTTATGGAGCATATTGCTATGGCCACAATTCTCTCCCCCAGGGCTAGGCAATGGGAAAAAATCAGGGAGGAAAAGCAAGTAGAAAACATTATTAGAACCGCAGAGTGAGACTGGAGCTATTCCTCTAGCCACTTCTGTGGTCTCCATCTACAAGCATGATGAAGACTGGAGGATGCTCCAGCCATAGCACTCTGTCTTTTCAACATCCACCCTCCACAACAGCAAGCACAAACCTTGCGCAAAGCTAGACTCTGGCACTGTGAAGAGGGGGCTTATTTCCTGGTGGGAGAAGGTAATAGATTTTTCTTTAGACTACTGTCAAAGGATCTGCCTCCATCCCACTGAATGCCATTTTCCATCCCCATATTCAGAACTCCAGCCCAGGGCCACAACACCTGGGGAAGGCCCTCCTGCCTTGGGGGCTAGCCGAAGGCAACCACCGTGGGACACCACACACAGCTTCCTAGCAACTATCAAGACTACACTGAAGTCTTCAAAAAGAAAAACACTGACATTCTACTTCCACAGCAGTTTCTGATTGCCCTGTAGACAAGGTTCCCTATGGGCAGATATACTCTATGTCTGAACCGGAGGGAGAATTCCTTCAGGCCTACATCCAAAAAACTTGGCAAAGGGATTTACCCAGTGATCTCCCCATCAGGAGCCCCAGTCCTTTTGTAAAAAATGTGGACTACTATGCCTCTACATAGCTTGTTTGGCTTTGAACAGCATAACAATCCAAAACTGTTACCCCCTGTCCTTAACCTTGAAGCTATTGGACCAAGTGCGATCCACTAAAATCTTTACTAAATTAGACTTTTGCAGAGCAAAAATCTGGTGTGGATTCAAGAATGGAAGTACACATTCCAGACCCACTATAGACACTCTGAATATCTGGTCATATTATTTGGGCAAACCAGTGATCCTATCAGCTTCCAACATTTTATAAGGGACATGTGCAGGGCCATCCTAGACCAGTTTGTAATCATCTACCTTGATGATATATTGATGTTTTTTGAGAAACCTGAACAACGCAACAACCACATCCAGTTAGTCATGGAAAGATTATGGAAGTACAGATTACATGTCAAGCTTAAAAAATGCATGTTTGACCAGCTGTCCACCAAGTTCTTAGGGTATATATTCTCACTGCAGGGTGTCCAAATGGACCCTCAGAAAGTTGAAGCAATCCACAATTGGCCAAAATCGCAGGCTTTCTGGGAGCTGCAGTGCTTTCTAGGATTCACAAATTTTTATTGGAGATTCATTCCACATTTCTTGGGGCAAATCACTCCCCTTACCTTGGTTCTCCTCAAGTCCGCCAAGTTCCTCTGGTCCCCTGATGTACAGTGAGCCTTTGATCAGTTGCTTCTAATGTGGCTCTCAGTGCCATCCTATCCCAAAGGCGTGGGCCCCAATTGGTAGTGCACCCTTATGCATACTACTCATGCAAGCTCACATCTGCTGGGGGAAAAAAAAAAATCTATGAAATACTGGAGCAAGAGCTGCTTGCCATCAAATCCTCTTCCAAAGAGTAGCAACACTATCTGGAGAGGGCTCGACAACCAGTACAGGCCTTCACTTACCATAGAAAACTTGAAAACGCTATCTGGAGGGCTTGAGCCCTGAACTAAAGACAGTTCAGGTGGGCACTATTCTCTCAATATAACTCCACCATTTCATTCCACCCAGGAAGCAGAAATGGGAAAGCAGCTATCCTGTGACATAAAGGGGAATATTTCCAGGGAAACAAGGAGCCGAACCTAGAACAACCCTGTAACTTCATTAACACTGACCTACTTAGACTTGACAATCCTCCTTCAGACACCTGCTCAGGAAGACACCTCTGGCAGGAAGGCTGCACTGGCAAAGGAAATGGCCAAAGTTCAACAATCCATGTAGGATGGGATAACACATGTCAGCAGGCACACAGACATCTGGCTGGGACACACCCAATTAGAGACAGGGTGTGTCCCTATGTTTATGTTACTACATCCCACTTGCAGGCCACTTTGGTCACCTCAAGAATTTTTGCACATCAGTTGTTTCTTCTGGTAGCCTTATATGCACACTGAAAACTGAGCCTATGTAGACTCCTGTACCAATGTGCTTGTACTAAGACACCTCATGCAAAACCCCTTGGTACCCTAATACTCCTGGAGACTCTGGAAAGACGCTTGCTCTCAGTCACTTTGGACTTCATTGTATAACTCCCAAGCTCCAAGGGCCACACCAGAGTCCTAGTGGTCATAGACCAACTAACTAAGAGGACCCACTTCACTGCCTGCAACTATTTGCCTTTGGATGAAGCAATGGCCCAGCTGCTGGTGTCACATGTCATCCACCTCCACAGACTTCCAGTCCAAATCATCTCTGACCAAGGGCCACAATTTGTGTCTCACTTCTGGTGGAGGAGACTCTGCTTAATGGATGTTCATGGATCCACCTTGTGATAAATGAAGCGGTGGGGGAGCTCCCTTTTATGGTCTACAGACAGCCAGTTAGCTATAAAATCCCCATTAGTAGCTGTTCTCTACTTGCTTTACCTGTAAAGGGTTAAAAAAGCCCATAGATAAAAGGAAAGAAGTGGGCACCTGACCAAAAGAGCCAATGAGAGGGCTAGAACTTGTTTAAATTTGGAAAAAACTTTCCCTTTGGCTGTCTGTTATTCTGCGGAGAGAGGAGATACTGAGCAGCAATGCTGTAAGAAGCTTTAAACCAGGTATGAAAAATCATCAAAATCAGACCTAGCAATTACTTATCTGAAACCCCGGATATGTACCGTATATACTCGATCATAAGCCGATTTGTTTATAAGTCGAAACCCACCCCACCCCCCGCAAGATGGATAAGTAAAAATGGAAAATTTTTATAACCTGTTCATAAGCCGACCCTATGATTCAGGGGTTGGCAAACTTTGCATCCCGGGCCATCAGGATAAGCCGCTGGCGGGCCGAGATGGTTTGTTTACCTCGAGCGTCCGCAGGCACGGAGGTAAACCTACGTAAACAAAGCTGCTTACCCTGACTGGCCGGGACAGCAACTGGTGGGGAAATTTTTTGCGGGGGGAGAAGCTGGGAGTCAGGGGAGTAACCCTTGTGACCACCCCCCACATGACCCCACCCCTAGCCCGGGACCCCCACACTCTCCCCATCCCATCCCTTCCCACCTTATCTGGGGAGGGCCAGGGGAGGAGGTCTCTGACCTGGTTGGAGCTGCTCCAGCAGGCTGGGCAGTGCGGCCGCAACCTGCTCCGGCGGGCCAGACTGGGCGGCATGGCCGCAGCATGTTCCAGCGGGCTGGGACGGGCGGCACAGCTGCAGCATGTTCCAGCGGGCTGGGCCGGGCGGCATGGTCGCAGCATGCTCCGGCGCCCGGGCGGCACGACCACAACCTGCTCTGGGGGGTGGGGCCAAGTGGCACGGCAGCAGCCTGCCAGCCCCGGAGCTGCAGCTGCTTTGGAGGCTGGGGGGAGAGCAGCGTGGCCAGAAGCGGAGAGACTCTGGCCCCACCTCTTACCTTCTGGCTCTGCTGCCTCTCCTTGCTCCCTCTGTTTGGGAGAGGGGCTGTGTCCCACCTCTCCCCCTCCATACCTGTTCATTAGCTGACCCCCATCTCTGGTGCTTCCCTTTTTTACTAAAAAAAAAATCCTCTTATGAATGAATATATACAGTAAGTAGACCAGGTAATGTCTAGGAAGCCACGATTAGATTTATATCTTATTTCTTTAGGGTTTGCAGACTCGTCTTTGCTAATCCCCAAATGCTTTTGTTTTGCTTGTAACTTTTAAGCTGGACCTGAAGAAAACCATTCTTGATTCTTAATTATTATATTTGCTCTTTTTAAATATAGCAATAGCCTAAGTTCCAGATGTATTTTCTTTCTTTTTGTTTAATAAAATTTACCTTTTTTAAGAACAGGATTGGATTTTTGTGTCCTAAGAGATTTGTGCACATGTTGTTTAATTAGCTGGTGGCAACAGCTTATTTCCTTTGTTTTCTTTCTCAGCTCTTCCCCGGAGGGGGGCTGAAAGGGCTTGAGGGTTCCCCACAGGGAGGATTTCCTAAGTGCGCCTTCCTGGGTCCAAAGGGTTTTTCTTTTTTTCATTTGGGTGGTGGCAGCATCTACCCATCCCAGGTCAGAGAGAAGCTGTAACCTTGGGAGTTTAATACAAGCCTGGAGTGGCCAGTATTAATTTTTAGAATCCTTGCAAGCCCCCATCTTCTGCACTCACTGCAAATCACCCCCAGACTGTCAGGCAGTTGGAGAGGGTCAATCAATTAGTATTAACTTTCATCAAGACAACTGGGTTTCCCTGTTATTATAGGCCAATTTATCTTACAATAATGCTGATCATGTCTCTCCAGGGCAGAACCCCTTCTTTTCTAACTATTGATATCATCCCCATTTCCACCCTGCATTACCCACAGACTCCCCAAACTCAATGGCTGTCAACAAGGTCCAGCAAATTTACCATATCCAGGATGAATGCTGGAGTCCCCTGGAGGAGACTAAAGAAGCCTGCAAGCAGTTCATGGACTGGTGATGCCAAGAGCACCCTACATTTGCTGTGGGCCCAAAGGTCTGGCCTGCCACAAAACATCTCAGGACAAGCAGACCTTCTCAGACGTCAAATCCTCAGATCTTTCTAAATCTGCAAACAGGTCAGCCCTGTCATGTTAAGTAGCAATTTCCCCAGTCCCTCTGCATCCACCCAGTATTCCATAAAAAGAAGAACAGAAGTACTTGTGGCACCTTAGAGACTAATAAATTTGTTAGTCTCTAAGGTGCCACAAGTACTCCTGTTCTTCTTTTTGCGGATACAGACTAACACGGCTGCTACTCTGAAACCAGTATTCCATGTGTCACTCTTCAAGCCCTTGGTAAAGAATCCCTTTCTAGATATGTCTCAATAACCCAGATTTAGGGGCGCAAAGATTATGTAGAGTCTAAAGTCTCTTCAATCCCATTGGTGGTGAGGGTGCCTTCCATGTCTCATAGATTGGGAAGGTTACAGTCTCAAGAAACGATCCTGGGAGCCCATGACCATGACCACACCCCCAAGATAGTAGAAAAGTTCTGTCAAGATCATCCCAACAGGCCAGGCCTAGCATCACCCCAAGGAGAATGCATGTGAAGAGGGTAAGGATAAAGTCTCCAGGTGCCCTTGGTTTCAGTGAGTCTAGAACCCAGGGCTGTGAGGGCCCAAGGTCTCTGATACTCCCTTGTTATCACAGGATATTCTGTTAGGATGCCCCAGGCCTGGGGTGCCTGAGTGGTTCGTCCCCATTACTTAAGTCAGGAAGTGACCCAGGTATATTGTCTGAGCAACTGTGCAGACTCCCTTTTGCTGCTGCATCAGACCCCGCTCTTTGCCTTTCTCTTGCAATCTGCATCCAACCTTGTTCCCAGTTCCTGCTCCACTCCCATCCTGTTCCTGCTTCCTGCCTCACGCCTCACTTCTGCCCCTGCTCCTAATTCCTGTTTTACTCCAGCTTCATGCCTGATCCTTGCCTAATCTCTGGCTCCTGTCTCTACACCTCACTACTTGACCATTGGCTCTGACCCTTGGCTTGACTCCTGACTCCAATTCCTGCTCTGACCATTAAGCCAGACCACCTATGTCCCAGTTCCTAACCCCATAGATACCTCAGATCACACCCCATTGTTTATTTCAGCCATAATATATAATCTTCTGAAATGTTCCTTGAGAGAGAACACTAATGCTTCATTATTACAGAAAAAAAATTATTTAAAGAGTTCATATAGCATAAAATAGGGTCTTTTTGAGGATTCAAACATGCCTATGTGGTGAGACACCAGAAAAGTTTAAAGGTGCAATAATTTATTTGTAAATGTAGACAAGAGTTAATGCAATTGTTTTCTGAAAAATGTAAAACCTTGAATGAGATACACCAAATCCAACACAATTTACAAAATCTAACACAAGATACAAAAAAATATATTAGTAAAACTAATGGTGCTTGTGGAGAATGAGAGCATTATCTACCTTTCTTTATGAAAACCTGAGGTGCATATGTTGATCTGCCTGCTAATATCCAGCCTTACAGCAAGGACTTCAATCAAAGGTGGCTGAGAGGTGGTCAGGGTGGGGGAACAAACCAGAAACAAAACAATGGCGAATATTAGGTACTGTCAGAGAAAATACCAAGGACCCTTGAGGAAAAATGGGGATGCTGTTAATTAGAGCCTGGCCCTAAATAGTCTAGCAAAGTTTATTCCTTCCAGGTCCAAACCTGTGATCTGATAGAATACTAAACCATTAAAGGCCCCAGTCTTGGGGGGTTGCTCAGGCAGCAATGGCTGAGATGAGAGTCTGACAAAGAGAGATACAGAGGATACTACAGAGGCTGTCTAACTTTCCCCACCCAGGAACAGAGGATCTGGAACTTATCCAATACTGTATGGAAAGAACAAAGCTGAGGTAAGAACCAGGCATATTGGCCTCTTTTTGTTTTAGCCCCTTTCGTTGTTTGCTATGTACATCTGGGTGCGTTAATATTTTTTGTTCTGAAGACACTGTTTTTGGGTCCCTTTAATCAGCCAATGGTCACCAAGTCCTGAAGAGTGGGTGAGTGAGGTTCTGTGGCCTGCAATGTGCAGGAGGTCAGACAAGGTGATCATGATGATCCCTTCTGACCTTAAAGTCTATGAGTCTAAGAGATGATTTTTTGCAGTTGCCAAGTTTCATTTGGACTTGTGGTGCTTACGCAGTTGGGAAACAGGGGCTGCAACCCAAAGATCAAGCCTCAGAGTGGTTAGACTGTGGTGTTTCTCCCTTGAGAGGCGAAGGAGGCCAAGTCCAACATGTGTGTTTAAGAGGGACTAAAGGGAGGCTAAAGCCCAGCTCTTCTTGTGACCGTGTTCTTTTCAGATTGCCAGAAATGCGGAGGAAAGAGTGGGTAAATTACTGACCCGCAGATGCAGCTAAAGGAGGAATAACACAGGTACAATCTCAGATACTGTCCCCCACCCCCACCCCCGCCCAATTACCATGTTGATTTCAAATAAGAAAATTAATGAATATTTAAAACATAATATTCTGCAATCTACATAGAAGAATACTGCTCGTGTATAGAAGCAGATGTTTTAATTCAGTAGAACATGTCTGTTTAATAGAGCAAAAATAAATTTTGAGTGAGGATATAACAGAATAAATAAGGGATGCCATTCAATCCAAAAAAAGCAAAAAACTGTCCTGAACTAGAAGAGTTCCCAGAAGACTTCTATTAGGAGTACAAAGAAGTGCTAATAGTTATTCTTAAAGAAATATATGCACTGACATTGGATAACATTCTTACCAGCTAGCATAAATATAGTTTTTATTAAAGTTATTCTAATCCTCGGAATATATCAAAGAGTTGCTCAAACTAACATCCAATATCTTTCATAAATGTAGACTCCAAAATATTGGCAAACATTTTGGCAAACAGACTTAAAATGGTCCTCTCGAGCATTATTCACCCTAACCAAGCAGAATTTATTAAAAATCAGTTGTCATGTAATAATGTGAAACAGTTGTTAAATATAATTGCTTTAGGCAAGAATAAATTAGAGCCAATAACCACTGTCTCTTTGGATGCTGAAAAGGCATTTGACAGAACTGGTTGAAAGTTTCTCTTCCGCATGTTACAGCGTTTACAGTGGTTTGGGGTGGGTAGTTTCTGACAGGAGTTTCCTTAATTGGATTGAACTTTGATATAACAAAGCATAGGCACGTGTATCTACAAATGGGATAACATCAAAGCCTTTTAGCCCTGAGAGGGGAACATGTCAAAGATACTCTCCCCTCATTATCCTATTTTTATAGTCTTAAGCCTCTGACTGCCAGATGCTGGGAGTGGGCAACAGATCACTCAATAATTGCCCTGTTCTGTTCATTCCCTCTGAAGCATCTGGCATTGGCCACTGTCAGAAGACAGGATACTGGGCTGGATGGACCATTGGTCTGACCCAGTATGGCCGTTCTTATGTAGAACCACTGACTGCAGCAACTGTTTACATGCCAAAATAGGTGAACTTTAATATAAAGAACTAATATAAGCTAACAACACTTTACTGCTCATTGCGAAACTAGAACAAATGGTTCCAGCAACATTAAAACTTGTCAGAGAATATAGATCATTGGCTAATTACAAAATAAATTGGACTAAATTAGAAATTTGACCAGTCTCCAGTGATTGCATCAAAGTATACTTTGAGAGAGAGAATCTCCTATGTGCTCCAAAGGGCTTAAAGTACTTGCGTTTAAAATATTTGTTTTATTATTTTTAAATAATGTTAAAACTATTACATTTTTAAAAGTGACATGAAAATGACTTAAGTTGATAGTACATCTGCAACTTAAGACTATGAGGGAAAATAAATCTGATAAAGATGAATGTGCTTCCTAGATCATTAGATTCTTCACTGGTTTGCATCTTGTATAGTCATTCAAACTTGTGCAAACCGAACCTGATTTACCAGAGAGTTTATCCCAGATTTGTGCTAGCGTAGTTCCATTGGAACCAAATTCAGTGTGCTCTTTTCAGTTTGTATCAGAACTACTGAGAATCATTAGTGTTATATCCGTGAAAAATTGGAGTAATGGTGTGATGAGTCAGGCCCAGTGTGTACAAAGTGGATTTAAAAATGCTACCATGCTGATTTGGTAGCATTTTACACTAAATGGTTATCAAAGATACAAGAAAGTGGAGACTTGGGCCCTATCTGCATGCATTGGCTAGCCCTAAAAGATTCCATGTAATACTTCACAGAATCTAAAAAATAATTGACAATTCCCTAGGGGGATTGAAAATCCTCAAATTCAAGCAGATAGTTTAAAGGTGTGTATTGTTTTGTAAAATTAAGACCTATCATATCATAGATGATGGTTGCAGGACCGGGAGACTCCAGATTTTGCTCTAATAGAGTGAGATTATCTTGAGACTATACCTCTGAAATTAATTTTGAGCTGTATACATCAGTGGTCCCCAACCTTTTTCGTCTGGCGGGTGCCAGACGACGAGCCACCGCGGACCATGGCTGGCGGACGAGCACCCGCCGAAATGCCGCCGACAAGTAGTGTCATCCAGAGGCGTCGCCGTCGAAATGCCGCCAAAAATCGGCAGCGATGCCTCTGGATGACACTGCTTGTCGGCGGCATTTCGGCGGATGCTCGTCTGCCGGCCAGTACGCGGGCACACATAGATGCCATGGCGCCCGCAGGCACCGCGTTGGGGACCACTGGTATACATTATGGACCAGATTTGGTATTGTAAGCTACTCTTTTTGTGCTACTCAGTCTTGGTACAAAGGAGCCAGTAAGCAATTGGATCTCCAGCTATTCTCCTGCAGGCAGAGTGGTTCTCAACCCACGGCCTGTGAGCCGCTTACGGCCCAATAAGCACACAGCTGTGGCCCATGTGACATCCTCAGGGCCATACAGGTAGTAGTGGATGCGGCCCACATAACACATTGTGGGCCACATATGCAACCCACAATGGTAAATAGGTTGAGAACCACTGTCTCAGGAGCCACATGCTGCTCTAAGATGTGCTGAACCCAGCATATAACCAGCCCCAGAAACAGGGAGCTACAATCCATGCAACATCTCCTCCAGTTAGCTACACCCAACTGATTCTGAATATGATAGAGAATCTGAAGCCATGCCCATTTGTACTCTCAGCTTGGTATAATAATGCAGACAAGTAGTATATGGCTTTCACTGACAAAACGTCTGAAATGTGAAGTCTTCAGAAATCAGAGCTTCATGCATTCTTGATGTAATTGTCTCTCGCTAAAAGCTGGATTCACAGAGAGGTTTTGGAATTTAGGCAGCTATTCTCTGGCAGGTATTTGTTATGGCTTAAAAAAAATACCTGTTACCTCACAGAGATTATTTGCTGCTAAGACTTTCAGCATAACAAAGATCTAAAAAAAATCACAAAATTCTCATGAGGAAGCAACCGTCCTAAAATCGTATTAGATGAACCAGCCTCAGTTTATAATCCATCTAAAATACCACAATGAGTATAAATAGGGCAGAGCATGGCATAGAGAATCCAACAAGCAAGGTCAAGTTGGAAAAACATGCTGATGACTGCCTTATCTCCAGTTGTCCTTCTAAATAAATCCATCCCTTCTGAAACTTCACTGAAGCCAACATATTTGGCATGGTATGAATTTGGCCCCTCAGCTTTAATCCAGTGAAGATAACCTGACTTGAAAATTATCATGAGTTCGGATTTCTGTGATCTCCTTGTAGAGCCTGGTGGCTGTGCACAACACATACATTACAGTCTCCAGTACTTATTGCACAGGAACGCAAATGAGAAACTGGTAAAGAGACAGTCAAAGGATCTTTTCATTGTACAATCACCATTTGAATGCTCTCTCATAAGGTTAGTTCCTGCCGTAATAGCTCAGAAGACAGTTTGAGTTAGAGTCCAGGTGCTGCTGGACAGGTTCAAACTTTACTCCCTATAGTCATATAGCAGTTTTCTAGATATCAACTACTGTGGCAGGACTTTGCACTGCTGGAAGACAGAAAGATTGCTTCATTGACTGGGGAAGTGGAAATAAAACCAGTATACTTGGTTTGTATGTAGTTCAATTCTAGACACAAATAGTAAAGCTAAAGAAGATCATATCAGTCTAGTGATTAGTAGGACTGATCTTATCAAGAAATACATCCAATTTAATTTAATCTCCAAGAAAAGATACCTTAATAAATAAAATATAGCAAGGCTGCATTGTAACAGGGTGGTCTGCCCCTTTAAGGCCAGGGAACCTGGAGCGAACTAACCTTGTTTGAGTCACACCCAACTGGGAAGGGGTCAGGTGGTCCTTAAAGGGCTGATGAACTCATTTAGAAGCGGGAGGGCTGGCCCAGAGTGGGAAGTTTCTGAGCCTCTGTTGCTGGCATTGGTCAGGGGAATACTTCAGGAGCTTTTGTCTGAATTAATAAACTGTGCCATGAAGGAAAGGCATGCCAGAGAGTTGGGTGTAGTGTTTGTCCTTCCTGGGCTGAGGACAAGCATAATACCACAATCATCTCTAGCTGACCACCTCTTGGCTAGCCTGGAACATGTTCTTCACAAAAGTGACCAACTGCACTTACCCAGTGGGGGTTGAAGTCCCTGGCTAAGGCCTGGTCTATACTACAAAGTTATGTCAACCTAAGTTGACTTGCATCAACCTAATTCTGCATGTATTTGCACCAAAATTGGTCTCCCAGCGATGTAAGCATCCCATTACAGTGATGCAATAACATCACCTCCTCAAACCAAGTTGAGCCACTTTGGTTGATGCAGTGAGTGTAGATACTGCATGACTTGTGGTGATGCTAACAGTCCTGCAACAGCTGTCCTATAATTCCCCTGTCCCTGCAACAGTAGCCACTCTGGTCACAATTTGGAACTCCACTGCCCAGGGGCCACAGACACCAGAAGACCACTCCCTCTTTAAGACCCCTTGATTATTTTTGAACTACCTTCTCCTGGTTGTCCACCTTGGTGAGTGCACCTACTAGGTGTACTCCAAGAAGTACTGGAAATCCAGGCCTGTGGGGAGAAGCTGTTCAAGCACAGCTCTGGACCAGCCGTAGAAACATTGACCTATACGAGCAGATTGTACAGGGGATGCTTGCAAAGGGGCATGGCAAAGATCAGTAGCAGTGCAACATGAAAGCAAAGGAACTATACCAGGTATACCAGGAGGCAAGGGAGGAAAATAACAAATTTGTGGTGCACCACAGATCTACTGCTTTTGTGACAAACTGCAGGCCATATTTCACAGGGCTTCCACTAGTACCCTGCATTTGACTGGGGGCACTTTCCAGGAGCCCGAGGTGCAGACCACTACTGTGAATAGTGGGGTGAGGGGTGCACAGCACAGCAGTGGATTCACACCATGCCGTGAGCCAGGAGCTGTTTGAAACTCCTCTAGAATCGAGACAGTCCTGCCAGGCAAATGCAGATGAACCCACTGATGAAGGGGAAGGAACCTTGGGTAAGTTTGTACAGGAATTATTCCTTTATAGTAATTTTCCCCCTTTTTGTTCCCCGAAAGCTCATCTCCTTCTCTCCCTCCCATCTCCACCTCCCAGCTTCGCCATCTATATATGGCACCCGTCCCATCCACAGCTTTAGAGAACAAAGACATTGACTTTTGACTAATTACTTTGCTGGTATAATGTTAGAAAATATAGTGTTAGATAATACAGACAAACATATGGCAGTCCAGTTACATCAGATGAGTGTCCTGTGCATGGATAGAGGTAGGAGAAATAGAGGTAGAGTCAGTGTCCACTTTTCAATTCTTCGGGTTTTTTGGGTTAAGAAGTGAGAGCCATGTGGAGTTCTCTGTTTATCTGAATAGGGATGTTCCTTTTGTCCTTGTCAAGGCTGATTCCCCACTCTGGCACTTTGCAGAAGGTGGGGCCATGCAAGGATTCTAAAAATTGATACTGGCCACTCCAGGCTGGTATTAAACTCCCAAGGTTACAGCTTCTCTCTGACCTTGCCACCACCCAAATGCAAAACCCCCCTTTGAATCCAGGAAAGCGCACTTGGTAATTCCTCCCTGTGGGGTACCCTCAAGCCCCTTCACACACACACCCCGCCCTCCAGGGAAGAGCTGAGAAAGAAAACAAAGGAAATAAGCCGTTGCCACCAGTTAATTAAACAACATTTGTACAAACCTCTTAAGACACAAAAACCCAATCCTGTTCTTAAAAAAGGTAAACACTATTAAAAACACAGAGAAAGAAAATACATCTGGAACTTAGGCTATTGCTAGATTTAACAAGAGCAAATATAATAATTAAGCATCAAGAATGGTTTTCTTCAGGTCCAGCTTAAAAGTTACAAGTAAAACAAAAGCATTTGGGGATTAGCACAGAGGAGTCCACAAGCCAATAAGAAATAAAAGAGATAAACCTAATCACATCTTTCTAGACATTCCCTGATCTACTTACATATCTGGGGTTCAAATAAGTAGTTTCTAGGTATGATTTGATGATTTTTCATACCTGGCTCAAGCTTCTTACAGCATTGCTGCTCTGTGTCTCCTCTCCAGGGAGAACAACAACAGACAGACAAAGGGAAATTTTTTTCCCAATTTAAAAAAGTTTCAATCCTCCCATTGGCTCTTTTGGTCAGGTGCCCACTCCCTTCCTTTTACCTATGGGCTTTTTTAACCCTTTACAGGTAAAGCAAGTAGAGAACAGCTACTAACAGGGATTTTATAGCTAACTGGCTGGCTGTGTGTCCATAAAAATTAGCTAGCCCCTCCCCCCCTTCATTTATCACAGTCCGCTTGAGAAAACCTGATGAAATCCTCTCCCAAACATTTCTAAGTATGTAGCCTTGTTTCTTCCCCCATGATAGGAGACTTCCCCATGCCACTCTGTGATGAGTAATGAAGTAAACTGGCTAGCAGCACAGGGGCTACAGAGGCTTCAGGATGCCATTAGCATCTGGGTTCTCTGTGGCTTTTGCCCCCCCCCCCCCAAAAGTGACATATCAGTTAGGATCACCACTCCCAGTGAAAATATTGCTAGTATTCACATCACTTGCCCTCTGCCCATATCTACTCACCATGGTTTAAGCTGCAAAGCAGAGCTATCACAAGGCATTCCAAAGCTAACATGACAATTAGCATCTCTTATTAAAGGTATTTATCAGCATAATGCAAGGGAGTTCTGAGACTTATCTTTCCCTTTCTGTTGTGACCATAAATCTAACAGTGTATCCATCTGTTTTAATGAGTAGCCTCCAAGGTTATGCCCTTGAGAGTTCCCATCTCCAGGCCTGCTGAACGTCTGACCCTGATAAGGAAGAGAAAGAAGAGGAGTAGGGAGGAATCAATGAGCTTCGTCAGTCCTCTACAACCTCATGTTTGGAGGGGCTATGTGACCAAGACCATGGAGAAGGACTAAGAATGGAGAAATTGGTTGCTGCAGGAAAAGGAAAAGGACTGAGAGGCACATTGGGAAATGCACCAGGACATCATTGGTCTGCTCAGACAACAAACACAAATGTTCCAGAACATATTAACCTACATGGCCAGGGCCGGCTCTACAGTTTTTGCCGCCCCAAGCAGCGCACCGAATTGCCGCCACGGACGGTGGGGGCAATCCGTGTGCCGTTAGGGCGGCACGCGCGTTTCCGCAGTAGTGGCAATTCGGCTGCAGCTTCTGTCTTCAGCTGGAAGACAGAAGCCGCCAAATTTCCCCCCCCTCCCGGGCAGCTGAGCATAGAAGCTGCCGCCAAATGCCGCCACTGCGGAAACGTGCGTGCCGTCCTAACGGCACACAGACTGCCCCCGCTGTCTGTGGTGGCAATTTGGCGCGCTGCTTGGAGCGGGAAAAACACACGGACTGCCGCTCCTTGCAGATTGCCGCCCCAAGCACCTGCTTGGAATGCTGGTGCCTGGAGCCGGCCCTGTATATGCCTAAAGACCACCAATTCTGCAGCCTTTTCAGGCATTGAAGAATTCCATGGGCTGTGGTGCCTGTACCCCCAACTCAACAGATGGCATTATGGGGTGCACTCATACCCCTACCACTCCATGCTGGTTAAAAATAAGGAGAATCACAGCTAAACATACACGGACCTGTGAAGACCACATGATCATGCAGTACTTGTTTGATCCAATTTTGGATTGGGGGTTTTAAAGTAGGGTTCACCCTGTTTCACTGTTGCTAGGTTGTTTTTCCCAAGGGTTAGTGGTGGTTGTTGTTTTTCCCCACTTTTGCTGTTTCTTTGCACACAATAAAGTTCTATATTTGGAAACTCTGAGTATCTTTATTACTGTACATCAGACGTTACAGAATTTATAGCTGTAGATAGTAAACAACATATATTCAAAAGTTTTAAAACCAGGCAGTACAAAAATTATACCAGGATTCAATGACATCTCTGCTTGCAGCTTTTTGAAGTCTTGCGTTCTTAAAGATGCAAATGTCATGCACCTTCCCTGATCAGCCAACAATGATTTCAGTGAAGCATCCCTATTAGCAATCCAGTGTGATCACTACTTGCTTCTCCTCTGTCATTACAGTTCTCATTTTGGTGTCCCTGCACCTGGGGGCTGGGGAAAGGTCAGATCCAAGAATGTGGCCTTTCACATCTGAAAGTTCTGCAGCCACTGCTCATCCCAAACCTGCATTACAACGCAATCCCCCAATCCCCTCTCATTTCTCAGGCTCAAAAGCAGCAATCCACCATGTGGAAGTGCTCTGTGAATGCCAGCAACTATCTGGCATTTTTTTGTTGCTGTATCCATCAGCATCCTTGAACATCTTGGCATCTTCCTCTTTGTATACCTGGTTGTAATAGTACTCATTCAAGTTCTGCAAATACAGAAAAATAATGCCTCCTTGTGACGGGGTCTGCTCACCCCGCACTAGCCCAGACAGGGTTAAGCCCATGGTATTGACAGCGGAAATCCTGCCTCCTTAGCAAGACTGGGCATGCTCCAAGTGCTCTAGTTGTATAAAGGGTGGGAGAACAGCTCATTCTGGGCTGGGGGCTGCAGGGGAAGGACCTGCCTGGGAAGTGCCTGTGGAGGGCCAGCCACAGCCTCTGATGGCACTGGGAATCGAAGCTATCCAATGCCCGCCTGCACCCCGGCAACTGGAGGAAACCCTGGAGATGACTGGCCCTGCTGAACACAGAAACCCCAACACAGACTCTGGTAGGAAGTGACCCAGGGAGGGCAGGGCCGGTGCAATCCATTAGGTGACCTAGGCGGTCGCCTAGGACACTAGCATTTGGGGGGTGGCATTTTGGGTCCTTCAGTGGCAGCTGGATCTTTGGCTGCCCCAATCATCATTGGCATTTAGGTGGAGGGAGCTGGGGTGGAGGGGTACAGGGAGGGCTACCTGCAGCAAGTAAGGGGGGGTTGGCATGCAGGGGAACTGCTCCCTGCCCCAGCTCACCTCTGCTGCCATGGGGGGGGTGCCTTAGGGCAGAGAGCTGCCACTGGGCTTGGGGGGGGGCGGCACAAGGTGGAGGTGTCTCCTAGGGTGCAAAACATCCTTGCACTCTCCCTGAGGGAGGGTGATGGAGTGGTATCTCCCACCTTGGGAAACTCAGTGTGTTTCAGTAGGACCCCCTGCTGAGTCAGCAGCAAGCTGCTATGCCACTGTTAGGGCCCTGGTTCAAGGCTGGTGGAGTTGGGTGGGCCCAGCCCCCCCTACTGGGGCTGCCACATCCCATAAGGGGTGCCCCAATGCTATAGACTCTGGCCACTAGGCCACGCTGCCCTACACCGAAGTGTGGCAAAACAGACTCTGGCCACTAGGACATGCTGCCCTGCACTGAAGGGATGCTTTATAGATTGTGACCGATAGGCCACACTGCCCTGACCCTAGGGGCGTGGACCATCGCACTCCTCTATTAGCAATCCTCATGAGAATTGCACTGAGCTGTGTAGGATATGTGCTTTTGTCAGCAAGATGGCAGAGACTGGAAAGTGGTGCACAGGACTGTGGTCATTTTTTAAAATGTGGTGAAAATTATGGAATGATACAGGCATTAATGGGATGGTGGAAACTTGACCCCTAACTCCCAGGAATTCCTGGGAGAACCAGTGGCATCCCACAAAGAACTTCAGAAATGTCCCACACGCTTTAACTTTTTGAATCTCCAATGTCTGTCTCCACACACACTCTAGAATTTTGTGCAACTGTGAAAATTTAATTTGAGAAAAAATAGAAAAAAGCTTAAATAAACATCAATATCATCCAATAAAATTATTAAAACATTGAATTCTGCCAAGCCTACTTAAGTTATGGTGGCTTTGCTACATCAGTCAGAGGTGTGAAAAAAACCACATGCCAGACTGACATAGCTAGAATGGTGGCAACCATTCATCTCAAAAGAGGATTATGTAAGCACCAAGCAGTTTAGTTACTGTGTGTCATGCTGCAGCATTGTGAGTGGCTACAAAAAGTCCAATTGTCAAGTGACAGTCCTTTGCCACAAATAGTGCAGTCATAAGGCGCAAGGATAGAGGATGAAGTCAGTGCAGTACTAGCAATTGAGGCCTGCTTTCCTTCTTCACTTTCCTTGCTCTCAATTACCTCTTTTCAGCCTTTTTGTCTCCCTACCACTGCGCAGCCCTCCGATGTGGCCTGTTGCTAAGTGCATCTTACCAGCTTACCATGTCAAAGTTTAAAGTTTTCAAGTCCCTCTTGCAAATGTCCTGGAACCTGAGCCTAGCTCGGCCCAGGGGCTTGGAGCAACCTTAGGTTCTCCACAGGTTAGCTGTGCCAACAAATATCCCAGTGTAGATGTAGCTCTGTCAACAGAAGTGTTCTGCTGTTGACATAGCCAATTAATGTCATTTGGGGAGATGGTGTTTGTACACTGACAGAAAAACTCCTCCTGTCAGTAGGTTATGCAAACACTAGGGGGGTATGCTGGCATAGGCTCTGTAATGCAGACCTAGCCAAAGTGAGCTCCTAAGCTCCTGCAATTCTTCTGAGACGAAACAAAATGGAGTTTTACTATTGACTAGAGCTGATAGGAAATGTTACAAAGACTGAGAGAATGAATCCGACTAAGAAAATAAAGTGTCAAAGCAAGAGTTCATTCCAAGGTTCAGCTGGATCTCAGAACTTTGCCTCAGGTCAGACCTGTGCTGGAGTTAGATAAGTTCCCGACGTTTCTATGTATCCTTGAGCAAGGCACTTAGGGCCTGATCCAATGCCCACTGAAGCCAACGGAAAGATTCCCATTGTCCTCAGTGGGCTTTGGATCAGGTTTGTAAATTGTGATCACACTGACACTCATGTAAATCCAACCTCTCTTGGCTTCGGGGAGGTGATTCCAGAATGACGTGTGTGAGAGCAACGTTGGACCCCCTCTAGTTCATATTTCCCCTGTGTAAAAGGAGAATAATGAATTTAGCCTAAAAAATCCCACTAATGTTTTTCAAGCTCTCTGAGCTCCTCAGATGGAAAGTGCTATAAAATACAAGTGCAAAGTATTATTACTATTGTTGCTTAAGCCCTAATCAGACTTCAGCATAGATGGCTTGCTCCTGCAAAGGGCTGAGCTGTCTGTCCCCAATCCAGCACAGCACTTAAACACATACCTAACTTTAAGCATATGAGTGGTCTCAGTGAAGCCATTGGGATTATTCACATGCTTAACATTCAGCACATGCTTAAGTGCTTTGCTGGCTCAGGGTTGGACTGCTCAGCACCTTGTTGGAGAGAGCCCATAAAGACTTGCCTGACTTGTGCCTGATGCAGGCACAAAGGCTTGAAAACATAAATGTTAAAGTCATAGAGTTATGAGGTGAAGTTCTGCAGCACAACTGCCAGGAACACCTGCTGAGCCAGCTGGCCTCCAGGAAGCTAGCCATCTGTCTGTAGTCAGGTTTATGATCCCCAGAGCACTGATTTCAAAGTATTCTGGTCTCTTCCCCAATAATATTCCCAGTAATCCAAATAGGGCAAATCAAGGCTCTACTGTACTGTTTTCCTTAATTTTAAACCATTATAATGACATTATCTGTATGTTTGTTCTCCAGAATAAAAGGTAGGTTTGGGATGCCCAAGACAGAGTTCATTGGAAATGTGAGATGTCCATGAATCCAAGTAGACTTGGGTTCCCCTGACAAATAAGCTACTACCAAGATAGAGCTTTATATCCTGAATGTCAGATTTTAAAGACACTATCAAATGTCAGCAGGAAAAACTGGACTTTAATTTTTAAGCTGTAAATATTTTCTACTTATCCTCATCTCAGCACACCTAAGCAAGGTGATGGGATCTGATGCCCTTGAATCAGAGGGGTAGCAGTGTTAGTCTGTATCCACAAAAACAATGAGGAGTCCAGTGGCACCTTAAAGACTAATAGATTTATTTGGGCATAAGCTTTCATGCGTAAAAAAACCCACTTCTTCAGATGCATGGAGTAAAAATGCATCTCCATGGAATTCACTCCATGCATCTGAAGTGGATTTTTACCCACAAAAGCTTATGCCCAAATAAATCTGTTAGTCTTTAAGGTGCCAGCGGACTCCTTGTCTTTTTTTTTTCTTTTTATGCCCTTGAAGTGTTCCT